GCCAGCAGCACAGCGTTCAATCAAAGCAGCGCATCACCATATCCACCACGGAGAGGCTTTGATTTACAAATTGCTAGTCCATACAAGGGGCAAGAATTTCAGTGACTCAGGGTAAACCATCCTTCCGGTCAACCGATGCTGAACAGTGTAAAGATTTCTGTATTCTCTGAGGGCTTTGATAATCATAAGTTGAACTGCGTTTCGAGCATCTTCCAACTTGTAGGACAATGATCTTTCAATCGCTGCAGATCAGTTTGTGTCAAACACTAGTCTGTTAAAATCAAGTAAAAAGAATAGATACTTCTATCTTTTTATTTTATTTTTTGCCTTAGTTGGAGAGAGGTGGTTTCTAGGATATAAGAATAGAAAGCGCAACCTAATCTGGAAAGCAGAGAAACAATTGCCCCATTGTCGGCCAGGCGATACATCTCTCCTAGATCTGCAACAACAGGAGCTGCTGCAGTATGTACTCTGATTCGCCTTTCTCCAGAAGATGATGTATATCTTCGCACTCGTTAAGGTTTTTTTTTAATTCTCTATCCTCAATGACATAAAAAGTACATAAAAAGAAAAAGTGGGGGCAGAACCTTAAACAGAGTACAAGAATAAAGAAAACCTTAACAAGATGAAAGTCTGATTAAAAGAGACAAGGATACAACAATGCAACTTGGAAATACACGATCTGTGTGGTTAATAGCGTCTCATCAAGACAAAACTGTGCTCCATATGCTTTATCACAGTCAAGAGCAGGAAGTGCTAGCAAGTCTGTAGATCTTAGCATAAAATTTCCATGATAAGATGTGAAGCGCAGTCCTACAAAAGACCAAAACAAAATGGAAAATACATAAGCTTCTCAGAACTAGACCAAAAATGACGGAAAGATTCAGAATGGATCTTCATACTGTCGCGTCTTTGTCCAGATAGCATAGCATTTTCTGCTTAACTATTGAATTATCATTCTTGCTACCTGCATGAATTTACCTTTTGAACATCTTATTCGCAGTACTGATTCCCATGCAGTCTCTCTAGTAAGATCTCTGGTCAACTCATGTCTCAATTTATCCCCGTGAATGCTTGACTGGAAACTTGGATAATAATACACTTGGCCACCAGTATATTTTGCCAGTGTTCCTATAAAGCAATACAAAAACCATAATTATTAGATAACAATTGATTATCAAGTTCCATTACTGTATAATAGTGTGTTTCGCCAACTTAGAAAAGTGAAGAACCTCAAACAGGAGTCAAGAAATGCATATATTTTAATCACATGGGTAGCAAATCAATGCAACTTTCCTAATTATTTTAATACAAAGTATTAGTCAGATCGTCATTAAACCTGTTTTGTAGAAATCAGCACAAGCCAAACTTGATGATTTCCAGTGCATCCAAATGTTTTCTAGAGTTAAATTTAGAGAAAGCAAAAATGAAGACTTCTCTATGCTTTGGTTCTACCATTATTATCTAAGGCATAGGATAGGGGGTATCAAGTCCCAAGAGAAGAACTACAGTTAGCCTTCCTTTGCAATTCTAGTTTCTTTCTTCCTCTAGCTTCTAATCCCCAGAATCTATATCTCCTTAATGTGTTTATTCACCTGCCCATTGAACAGCAAAACTAGAAAGGTACCTTAAAAACTTCTAATTCAATCAGATGTCAACGCATAAATGGGATAGTTACTCAACTGATTTTACGGAATTCGTCACATATATGAAATCCAGAAATTATAGGAACTGATGCATATCAAATAATTTAAATGAGACATCATTGGCACTGTTCATACTTCCCATTCTGATTATTCTAAACACAAAATTGAAGCAAGCAAGAATATACCCAGTGATGCTATATCTGTGTACTTGTCACTGAAAGCATATATATTTACAGCTATCTGATTCTTGGATAAATCAGCAGCCATCTGTTTGTAGAATGGATCTTCAGGTACTCGTAATGTATGTTCTTTATCTGTCCCATAAACTCGAGTGTCATCTCCACGCAGCCTCAATCGGCCAACACCAAATGATGGCAGGGTATTTTGGAAAACTAACAATTTACCGCCAAGTGGACTCTGATAGTAGAAAGAAAGAAAATTAGTGTCAGATTAAAAGGAAACCAGATTCCCAGCGCAACAACAAGGGTCAAGGTACCTAAAATTAAAGCCAAATATGACCAAGATAATAAAGGCAGTTACAGTAACACATATCTGAAGAGACCGGTCAAAGTTAAAAAGCAGCATAACAAAAGAATCAAACACACACCATAACCGTAAATGCAGCTTTAAGAGCAGGCCCAAATGCCGATTCCACATTCATGTTGTCCTGGAACATGGAGGGCAAACTATCAAGGAATGCCTCCACCACATTTCTAGATTCCGATAAGTTGACCAGAAGATCATCGGGCAATGGAACAAATACATCATCCAAATCTGACACAACCATCATCTGTGGCTGCATTAAAGATGACTGATGCAAGAAAAAGACACTAGATGTTTAGCAACTCAAATTAAGTAGATTATAAATGCAAATAAAAATAAAACTTCCATAGTGACACTTGCCTTCATGTTATAGAAATGTATTGTGCTATCATAAGTTATGAAGCCAATCTGTGTTCGAGTAGAACCAGGCAAGCTGTCCAAACAAGATTTAATAGTTTGCGCCATAACCTGCAAAATATCATGTGTTTTAGCATTGATTCCGCAAGTACATAAGATAGGAGCTGACAAATTAACTTGCTATTTTTAAACTTCTTGATTGTTTCAGATATATAACGAGATAGAAATAAAGTCCATCCCAATCAGCTCATTAAGAAAACTCAAGATAATAAGCTTTCTGAACAATTACAAACAGAAAAACAAATTTACTGGCAAAATTTATATAAGAAGTCATCACAGATACTATCTGCTTCTGCGTATTATGCAATTTAGCTGAAAGCAAACAACTGCACGACAGCTATGGCTAAAGGAAAACATTTCAAAAATAGTGGCAAAAAACATAAGAAAATTCATGAGAAACTAGCATAAAAGGAGCCCCGAAGCTGGTGCTACGAATTATGGTACTTGCTGTTGATCATATCAGAATAGAAACAAGAATTTTATAACCCATTTACTGTTTGCAGGGAATTGGATCTGGAAATAGTTCTGATTTTTTTCTGATAGTGCCTGGTAGGGTATCAAAAAATAAATAGTTTCAAAGTAGTTATACTGTGCTTTCCCAACAACAAACAAATACTTTCAGAAACAAGCTATTCTGAAAGGATTTCAATGATTTAACAATACCCTGCATTTCAAATCCCATTTTGTTCCAAACATTCAACAATTGTGCATTAAAAACAGCAAGTTTTGAGCAACCAGCATTTTAGTTCATGCATCAGAATAACAAAATGCACAATCACCTTCTAAGTACACTATTAATTTTGATAAGATAATTTACCTCAAGCATTCCGCTTTTAACAGCACAAATTGAGACGTCGATGAGAAAAAAATATAGTGGAGGCATTGGAGGGCGGACCATGTATTCAGCTGGAGCAATGAACTCAACATTACCCTTCAAAAGTTCAGGCCGTTGATCCAAATCAACTCTTCTTCCACTAGCATCCACCGGTGCAAAATATTCACCTGAAACTGGATATAAGAAATTTAAGATAAGTCAGTCCAGTCCATGCATCTTTGCAGAATAAAAGTGAATAGCAAATGATGGGTTTAATGTCACCTGAAAATATCAAAATGCATAAATTGACAGCCATGCAAAAAAATATGAGTAATGATGCAGATGATATCTACTACGGTTTCTATGTAAATTGTGTCACTTGGCAGTAGACCACCTTGTGAGAATGGAGACCCCATTAAAAAAATAATAAAAAAAGAAAAAGAAAATTGCAAGTATAATGAGGTTTTATTTGGCAGCTTTCACTTGCAAGAGGCAGTTAGAGATCTGCCCTTTCTCGTTAATGACCCTTAGGCCTTACTGAAAGGAAGACCACAGAGTTCTTATCACAAATAGGAACCAATGTGAAAGCCATTTACAGAAAAGAAAAGGAAAAACTTAGAAAGAACCAAACCAAGGATTAGAGCCAAAATACTTGATTACCATTTCCTTTCTATATATCCTTTTCTATTTGTAATGAGGATAACACTTAGTCCATGTAATTTGGAAAAAGTAACATCTAACTGTAATGGTATGACCAAAAAGCATAAAGACGAATACGAGACTACCGACAAAGGGCCTATACCATTCAATGCAATAATGTAAAGTCAAAATATTCAAAACAGAGAAATAAATAATTAACATATATTATCAGATAAAGTTCGAAAATGAATTACCATCATTGAGTAATGAACACATATTGCATCTCCAATTTCTTCCATTATCCGTAAAGGTCACAAACGGATTCACATAAGCGCGACACTTTTTACAGCGAACGATACCTGTGGTAGAAAAATTAACTATTGGTACTTTCTCCTGAAAGAAAATCAAGACACAATTAGGGTCAACAAGAGCGGAAGATCTATATAGCTATATAGCATCTTAAGAGCAATGGAGACTAACCTCAGCAGGAGATTCCGCCAGAGGGCAAACAACTGCCCCAAGAGGCAAGTGCCACCTTGATGACAAGGATTGAGAATTTGGGATGCCATTTGTCGTCAGTCGTAAAAATCTTGAACTGCAGTTCAACGTGTACATCTCCGGAGAAGACTTTGGTTCCGCATCACCATCCAACGGCCTTGGTAAAATTGCAGCATCAAGGCCTGCATCATATGATCCCGGTGCAGATCCAAGAGAGAGTGAACTGAAATCTTCTGCCAAGCCCTGTGAATTTGCAGTAGGAGGTGCAATGCCATGATGCTGCATTGGGCTCCCTGAATAAAGGCTCGATGGAGTTGTTATTGGTGGACCGGGAGCATAGCCTCGTTGTTGAGCAAGAAAAGGAGTTGGACCATAGCCTCCTTGAGCTACAGGGTTCGATTGTCCATTAGCATATCCTGGAAAAGCTGGCTCAAAGGTACCCCTGGCAGTGGCATAAGATGTCCCCATTTGTGGTGGCGGAGGCTGGAAATTCGGCCTAGTTGGAGGAGGGCCTGCGGGCACCGACCCTACTTGACCTGCTGAAGAAAATGTGGGGTTTTGGAATCCAGCACTTGGTGGGCCATATGGCCTAACCGGTTCATTAGATCCACCTGGCGGGCGAGGTCTGAAGGGAGGTGCCACTGATCCAACCAAAGGTGTGGAGGAAAAGGGAGCTGACGGAAACTGAGATGAAGCATAAGGTGCAGGCCTAAAAGGGGATGCTTCCGGCCCAACCACAGGACCAGATGATAAAAATGGTGGTGTACTTTGTGGAGCATGAAAGGGTGTGACAGCTGGCCTTAACGGAAAAGTTGGAATTTTAGGATTTTCAGTCTCCATGAAGATTTCTAGTCGTGTTAGATCTCTCCTAGCAAAGTCAAAGCTTCTGTAATCCAACAAATATGATGAGTAAAATGGTGGACAGAAAGCAAGACGCAGCAAATTCAGTAATATCTTGCTCAATAATCGAACAAATAACGGTGCGAACAAAATATACGCACAGCAACACAATTCATTGCAACAAAAACAATAAAGTTATACATTATAATGAACAATTATACTACGAATGAAAAGCTCGTATGTTCTTATTTCTCTGATCACAAGCGCAACCAAACAAAAGTAACAGCGGAAAAGGAGTTTCAACTATTGGCCTAGGAAGAACTCACAGTAATGGACTACGGTATCCATAGTAGCTCTATATTACAAAGGATAAATTAAAGTGCATTTATCCATACATATATAAATATGTATATATCACAATAAAAATGACAACACATCACATTCAAACGATTATTTGTAAAATATAAACGAATGATGATCAGAGGCTCTAAATTTTTGTCCCTGATCAATTTCCCAAATTGCAACATCTTAAAACCAAATAGGTACACAGACTACAAGAAGGAACTTTTCATAACTGAATAGCACTCAAACGAAGTTTAGAAGATAGAGAGAGAAACTAACACAATTGCCACAGCTCTCTAATCAATCGAATTGGTAAATATCACAGTGTATCTACATAGACCTAATGTGAAAAAACCTAACCAAAAAACCCATACTTCCTCATCAAGAAACCAAAATTCACCAGTCTTATTATTACCGACAGATAATTCAACCACAAATCCAGAATTCAAATTACCTAATCGGAGATCTCGCCGGCGGACAAAGGAGATAGGAGAATCAAATGCCGACGATCGGTGGGAGGGGATGAACAAACAAACGTTCAGCTCTCTCTCTCTCTCTAGATTCCAAACCTTGTGGTGTCGACTGTGTTCAGAAGTTAGAACAAAAAATTCAATAACTAGGAATTTTTGTGTAGCATTAAATTGTCATATTTTCTTCAACCCTGTGAAATAATCCGAAATAAAATCAGGCACTTTTTTTTCTTTTGTTTTTTTTTTTTTTTTAGTAAAATCAGGCACTTAATAAACATTGTTTATTTTTAATTTCACTATTTGTTAGGGAAATTAGCTAATAGTCCCCTTTGTGACATTAAATAGCGATAAAGTCACAAAAATACTTTTCTTTGCTAAAAGTTCCTCGAAAATAATTTCATTTGCTACAAATACTCCGTTGAAGCACATTTTTTTTTTTACGGTAAATTTCACTTTCTCCCTTGTACTTTGGCTCGATTTCACTTTACTCATTCTACTCTCAGTTGCATCGATTTGCCCCCATGTGCTTGAAAAATTGACATGTCCGATTGCAAAGTTGTAAAATATGTAATTGTTTTATTGCCCGATATAAACCCAAAACCCGAAAAATATATATGAGCCGAGTTTGAGCATATAGGCATGAGGCCTGATGGTATTTGAGCTTTTGAGCATATAATAATGAGGCCCGATGGTATATGAGTTTGAGCCGACCCAGACTCCGTTCACACGGCCGATTGCCAACCCTACAAATAACCGTAAGCATCGTAGCGGGGCAATATTGTCTTAAGGAAAGAGTTTTCTCACCCCGGCTAATCTTTTTGTATTTCAACTAATTTATTTAATTATTTTACTAAATCACTGTCCGTTTTATGTACTAGGAACAACACTAACTTTTGTTTTTAAATAATCATTTGCAAACACCACTCATACACATATGTGGACGCGGGTTCCCGTTTCGAAAAATAAAAATGCTCATAACATACATGTCACATTATTATTATTTTTTTCATTGTTTCATTTGTTTTATTTTGTCCCTAAATTATTGAGGATCCGAATTTTCTCTATAAATAATTGTAACAACAAGTTTGTAATTAATAATAATTTAAAAAAAAAATAGAGAGAGAGACATGATTAAAAGTCATCAAGATGAAGCTAACATCAGCATCATCATCCTGACGAATTCGTCGTAGCTGACAAGTCCATCTCCATCTAAATCAGCTTCTCTAATCATTTGTTCAGCTTCTTCGTCACTTAATCTCTCTCCCAAATTCAACATCACATTTCTCAACTGCATATCCACATAACCCGAAACTCATTAATCTTTATCGTTAGCACAAATAATTTCGTGTTAAAAGAAATCTACATCAAATCTCTTTTCTTCATTTTATAGTTCAAGGTTCCTTTCTCGTGTGATTGTTAGTCTTAAAAATCATATTTGACTACTGCAAACTGTAGTACATTGAATTATAAATTTAGGAATACAGTTTCAATTTTCAAAAGTTTTAGTTTTGAAGCAATCTATTTTTTGCCTATCAACGCCCAAAACAGGCGTGAAATAACCTGCACCACGCTAAAAACGAGCGCGGATCCCACGCCCAACATGCGCGTTTGTTAGTATTTTTTTTTGGGGGGTTTAAGTATTTTGTTACTTAGTGAATAATTAATACTCAATAATAACTAGTTAATTATTAATTGGTTAGTAATTACTAAACGTATAATAATTGGATTACCTCAATTGCCGATATAAATCCATCTTGATCCCGATCGAAAACTTTGAAAGCTTCTTTCAGCTCCTCTGTTATATTTTCCTATCAAAATCAACCAACTTAATTAAATGGCATCTCCAAATTCTTTCAATACCATCTCAAATTCAAGACCAATTAATTTAGATAGGATTTTGCTCATATATTTCTTTTTACGGTTATTACATTTGGTACCCTGTGTTTACTTTATTTTAATTACCAAAAGATCCTTATGATTCTATTTAATTAGTAAAACACCCCTAAGAAGTAAAAACTCTCCATTTAAGTTAAGTCTTCTTCAAACCAAAAGCTACCTACATACACCTAAATCCTAATGAATGATGTGCAACCCATCACAATAAAATCAATACAATCATATAAGAATTTCAAGAAAACGTAGAAGTAACATATGATTAAATTAATTATTAATCGATAGAATAAGGCCAACCGGGCCCTCCATTTTTTGTAAATATGGTTTTTTGGTCCCTTAATTTTTTTTTATAATTAATATATATTTTCATATTTATTACTACAATATAAAATACTGTGATTAAATTTATACTATTTTCTATAAAGTGTATAATAGTCACAGGTTGAGAAATTAACTACATTAGATTCATCTACTCGAAATATAGATTGTGAATTTAAATTATATTTCCATTTTCGACCAACGGAACCCACTTAAATATTTTCTTAAACCCAATTTTTCCAACAATTTTTAAGCAATTTGAAATTAAAACTAAAACAAAAAAAATAGAATTCTCTCTGTTTTTATTTTAATATTTTTTTTTTAAATATACCTTCATCTTTCTTGCCATAATGCTCAAAAAGTCTTCGAAATCAACGGTGCCATCTCCGTCAGCATCAAACTCATTCATCATTTCTTGAATTTCTTCCTTCGTCGGATGCCCATTCAGCGATTGAATCACATACGCCAATTCATCCACCGTGATCAACCCTTGAACAAAAAAATATTTCACCGATAAATATAATATATCAAATTCTCATACACACTAATTATTTAAAAAAAAACACCACATTTTATTAAACACATTTTTCTCTTTAAATAGTACAAGGAAATTAAGTACAGAAACTCACCATCGGAGTCTTTATCGATCAAGCTAAACGCTTCCCGGAACTCAGCAATCTGATCTTCTGTCAATGCATCAGCCATTATTTCTAAGGGTTTCTTTTATTTTATTTTTGAGTATATATTTTTGAAGGTGAGAGAGACTAATGAACTGAAAAGTAGGAAGTGGTGAGAGCAATTTTTATGTTAATTTGTTATTTATTATAATTAACATATAATGTGAAATGGTAGTTAAATGTCAAAGGCATCCATGAAGAAAATTATGGTCAACATTCAAGACTGAAGCTTCTCGCATTGATTTTTTCTGGGTCAAAAATCAAGGTTTGAATTTATTTTAATGACATTACATAAGATGAAGGTCAAATGGGACACATGCTTTCATGGATTTTTGGCCTTTGAGATTTAGTTGGGAAACACCGCAATTTCTGGATTTGATCAAATATTTAATCAGTCTCATTATAAAGTATATTATATTTGGTTTATTTTATACTACGCCGAGTGAAATACACCGAGTAAAATTATGTGAGGTAAGCTCGATTTGATTTGATTTCTTATCGAATCAAAAGTTCAAACAAAACTTTAAAACTCGATATAAATTTGAATAAAACATGCATTTGGTTTGACCCTAATTTTAGACATTGGTCGGTTGCTATTATTAAAATTTAGGAATTATTGGGTTTAGGTATATTCCGTTAGAAATATATAGAACTAACTATCAACCAGATTAATCTCTTGTAACTCTGTTTCTTTGTTTTCAAAATATGAGATTAAATCACGGTTAAACATCTCACTCAATATAACTCAAACTCCTAATATATTCCAGTGTTCTAAATAGCGGTCGTGGCAGTCGATATATCGCCCGCCATATCGGTATCGGTTATAAACCTTTACAATTTTGTTGAGGCGGTTTGGAATATCGGTTTTTTACGGCGAGGCGGTTTGCGGCGGTTTTTTGGCGGGTCAAACCGATATATCGGTCAACAAATCGGTTTTTTTTTTTTTTTTATAATTTAAATTAAAATGAAATATGTTTTGATTTTTTTATTTTTCTCCAATTCTTTCAACTTCCAAAACCAAACCAAGTACTACCCCGTAATTTATGTTTTGTTGTGTTTATATTAATTATTGATGCGAAAGACTTGCGTAGTATTTGTATTTCGTAAGAATCTTTTATTATATTATGATCTTACTATTTTTAAATTTTTGTTATTTATTGAGTAATTAGAATTATATAATAACATATGAATGATAGGATAGAATTATGTTTACATATTCTTTTATATATATTTTGAGTATTTACAAATAATTTTTTAGAAATATATTACACTAAATTTAAAAACCGATATATTTCCGATTTATCTCCGATAAATCACCGCCGCGCCGATTTATCGTGTGGCGGTCCCAAACCGCCACGTACCCGATAACCGCCTTTTAGAACCTTGATATATTCAAACTTCGTAATCAGGTTTTCATAATCTTATATATAAGAGTAAGAAATGCTATGGCAACCTAAGAAACCATAATGGTATTTTTTTTTAATATTAATTATTAATATATTCTCATTTCCTACTTCCCGGCCGTTTTTTCTTCTCTAATGACTCATAGCAAATTAAATTTGCAAATCCGCTAGCAAAATTCTAATCTTTTCGGATAGTATATTTTTATTATTCTTTTCCTCTCTCTTATACACACTCATGTGGATTTATTTAATGCCCACAAAAAAAAATTATGTTCAACTTAATAAAATAGGCTAAATAATTGCTTAAATAGTCATCTAAATATTTTTTGCGATGAGTTATGTTGGAAAAAAATGAAAGCGTTAGTGACTTTAATTTTTTATTTTGGCTGATACATTTCGAAGTACTAAAATTGACATATATTTTCCATAGACTAAAGGTGGGTAAGATTGTAATTGCTCAATAAAACATTACAGACTAATGTCTTTACATTTTTGTAAGTTCGACCAAAATATAGGAAGTTATTTGGTAGTTTCATAATTGAGAGGTGTGTATGTGACACAACTCATAATTCAGGATGCAAAACGAACTTTGCTCTTTTTATAAAGTAATTTTGTAATTATACTTTTTAAATATTAATTTTGACCCCTCAAAGCTTTTGCAAATATGTTTTTCCTCTACAATCTTACATAAATTATAAATATAAAATCAAATTTACTATAACAATATACTTAAAATGGTTAAAACTTTTTCTATTTCAATTAAAATCTATGAATATTTTTTTATCAATACCCCAGAAAAATAATATAGTGCGATGCATCAGATCCCCAAGAAATTTAGTGCAATCATTATTAGAATTATTTGGATTTATTTTTCTTTTTGCAGGCTCGAAATATTATAATTAGATTATAATATATATTATTTTAATTAAAAATTAGCAATATAAATCTATTTTTACAATGTCTTGAGAACCCAAATTGCATTGTTTTGATGTTGTAAAAATATAAACAAACGTTTGATGTATCGTATGATCAAAAATTCTGTTACAATCATTCATTAATAATTCATCAGTGGAACATTACTAAGTATACTACGCAAAAACAAAAAAACAAAAAGTAAACAAAAATTTTTTTACTGTTGTTCCAGACGAATTGAATCAGTTAGTGCTAGTAGATCAAAAAATTGAACCAGGAACAAAATCATCAACTATGTCTTTCATGTTGAGCTTAAAAGTAATTAGATTTAATAACTTAGTTAACGTAATCAAAACTAAACTATCGACAATATACCAACGTAAAAAGGCCATCTATACGTCTTGCATCGGAACTAAGCCCTTCTCCACTCTCGTTTTGGTCCTGTTTTGCCACTGGAATTAACAATTGGAAAATTAAGAAACAAAAATAAATATAAACAAAAAATTAAATATCGCATACAAACAATAAGTTTTGAATGCCGACTTCCAATAGCTTGTGGCAGAGGCGCCCATTTTTGCTTAATTCTCTCAAATCATCCCTTTCAATAACATGTCCAATAACATCTAAAATGAATAATTGTTATACATAAAATTTTAAATCTTTGGTATAAATTAATGAAACACATAATTTAATTAAATGAAACTACTTATAAGCCATGATGAAAAAAAAAGCAAACTAATTACCACACAATCAATAGGATGAAGAAGAAAATAAGACAAAAATTCTAAAGTCTGGGTAGGATGAATAAATAAAATTACTTCACATGGTGCTGGTGTCTCTTGGATGTCTCACCATAGGTAATTAAACTTTTGTTCTGTATATATTTTCTTAAGCTGATGTAGTATGTTTCATGATCTTTCAATGTTCATAAAAATTAAAATTTATATATGAGTGCATTTAGTTCTTACTTGTTGCTTAGTGAAAATCTAGATGTTCTTTTTCTAATATTAATAATTAATAGTATCTATGGCTGCTCCTAGGTTCTGAGTAACAAAAATTTAGTTTTCTCTACGTTTTGATATTGGTTCCGCCCCTATTTATATATGAGTCGTGTTACGCTACGTTGTTAAACAAAATAAAAAAAAAAAATAGAAAGAACAAAATAAAATTGTAATTGGATTGATATAATTAGATGACAGATATTTCATGCAACGCCAAAATGTTATCAAGTTCATGAAAGTGATGAAGATATACAGAAAAGAAAGTTATTTATTCATCATCAATTCATCACCAACTAAATATTGCTGAAAAAGCAATATCAACTTTATTACAATAATAAACATAATACAAATAATACATTTAATTTATTCTTGATTAAACATCAAATTATTTCTTCCACATTAATTAGCCGGCGCGAGGAGCACGGAGCACCACACCGTTCGCGTCGACCCAAATCCACACGCGGTCGCAACGGAAGTCTCTAGTTGTCGGAGTTGGATTTGTCGAGACAACGGCGTTCACATTAGGGTTCTGCCTCTCTATCACCGCCGCCGCTGCGTAGCCGTTGGCCCCCAACAACTCCGGCCAGAAATTCTTGCCTGGACAATCTGCCATATCTAAGTTTTGAATATCGCTGCTAATAATAGTTGTAAGTGATGATTTTATGACGATTAGACTCTGATAATTTTGCATGCAATTGTACATGTATTTATAGTCTAGAGAGAGAGAGAAGATAAGCGGCGTTGGCCGATTTTCTTGAATGATGATACGTATACACACGTGGATTGTATATATCTATATCTAGTTGACTTTTCTATGACATTTTAGTATTGTCCTTCAACATAAGACGGCGAATATATATACACAGAACGACGAATTTGACTGTTCATCGGCCCAACAACTCTCTGCCCATTTTGCCATTTTGGATCTGCATTTGTTTTTTTTTCTTTTCTCTAATTTTCTGAGTTTTAATTTAATATAATGTTTGTTATTAATGAAGCTAGAATTATAAGACCCCTTAAGGGCATCTCCAATAGAGTCTCCAAATTGGGTCTCCAAATTCTATTTTGGAGACCCAAATAGAGACCCGGTAAAATTTTACGGTCTCTAAAACAAAAAATTCCACAATGGGAGGGCTCTATAATTTTGAGTCTCTAAATCATGCTACGGATTATTTTATATAGTAATTTGTTTATGGCTCAAAATTTATTCATATACGAGATTGTAGACAATTAAATTTTATTTGAACAATCTTAATTATTTTTAATACACATTTTGATCCGAAAAATGAAAATTTCTGAAAAGATATGAAATATTGAACTACGACCCCTTGAACTTTCTTCAAGATCTTCCATTACTGTTAAAAAATAATTAAATAGTAAGTCATTAAATTAAATATAAAAGAATTAAATTTATTAAACCTAAAAACAAGATAAACTAATTACTATAAAAAAAACACTAATTAAATATTTTTTGAGTAACTAATTAAATACTTAATAATTATAAGATTTGTAAATTTCCACTAATTGTGCACCGCCTTTAATCTCCACTAATTTTTTTCTTCTTCTAAATCTAACGCCTCGCCTCTTCTTCCCCCAATTTTTTCACTCTGTTCTTACGCAGCGTAACACATAGAAATGAAAAAAAATTGTGCTCCTAATTTCTTCAAGAATTGAAGTAAAACCCAACCCCCTACTTCTAATTTATTTATTCTCTGATCCATAAACCATCCATAAACCCAATCAAGTTTCCAATTTCTACAAGTATTAAAGAGAAAAAAAAAAAAGAAAAAAAAACTCACAATCTGAAGATTTAGAAGTGATGAAGAAGATGAAGAACAATTAGAGGCATTTATGCTTTTTTCATTATTTTTTCTTACCGTTGAAAACCAACGGTCATATTTGCAAACATTCAAATTTTAATTTTTATTTAAGAAAATTAAATTCAAAATTTAAATTCAAGAAATTTTATTTTGTTTGAAGCTGGGTCCATTAAATCAGAGTCTCCAAACCAATACCTAAATTTAGAACCAAGTTTGCATATTTTGCAAAAATCTGAAAATATAGAGCCCCTTATAATGTCTTATTGGTGTTGGATTTTGTTGCAGAATTTCTATATTATGCAGCCCAATGGAGTTTAGAGACTCCATTGGAGATGCCCTAAGTAGTTGAAGTAGGATGAGGTGAAAGCAGGCCCGTTCCTGGGATTTTGGGGGCCCAAGGCGAACTTTGTGAAGGGAGTCGAAACGGGGCCCCTTGTATATTTAGCTAAATTAATATAAAAATGAATGCATGCTATATTTTTAGTGACAAGATATTAACATTAAAATAAGTACTAAATACTTGTAGTCCAAAAAAAAACTAATAAATAATCTCGAAACACATTCTGGTGTCACTGAAAAATAACTCTTCTTGCTTTCTGAGCTGCAAAATTACTAATCAAACTACTGAAATCAAGTTTTTCTGTCAAATCTTTTTCAATGGATAACATAGCTAATCCATTTAGTCTTTCTTGGCTCATGGTTGATCGGAGGTAAGACTTGATTAACTTCAATTTTGAGAAACTTCTTTCTGCAGAGGCAACTGTGACGGGTATAGTCAATAGTATCCTATAAGCAACCCATGCATTCGGAAAACTCCCATTCATCGCTTTCAAGTAATTCAACACTCCAATTGCCGTTTCTGCTTCTTTTGGTAGAATTTCTCTCAGCACTCTTAGTTCATTAAATAAATCTTCCCCGTCAATATCAGATTCCATATCGTTTTTCAAAAAACATTGAAGCTTAACACAAGAAGCCTTCAGACATTCATCGTCTACCAATTTCCACTTCTTTAAATCTAACAAAAATCCAAATTGTCCTTCAAACTTTTGAAAATCTTCAAATCTCTGTCTCAATGAAGTAAGAGCTTGATCCATAACAAACATGAAAAATTCAACTCTAAAGGTTTCTTCTGCTGACTGGGGTGTGTATTCATTCTCATTCTCGTCAAATTGCCTTTTTCTTTTAATTACCCGTCTCGTCCGAAATACGGGTTGAACACCCAATTTGGTGGCAATAAGTTGAGCTTCTTTTTTAGCTTTCTCAAAACCTGTTTCTCTGTACTCTTCAAAAAGAATGATGAGTCCTTTCAACTGCCGCAAAGCTTCATCCATATGCATGTCTTCATTTTGAAGTGTTTTACTGACAGTATTCACAAAAAATAGTAAATCATACCAAATAACCAAACTCATCAAGAAATCAAAGTTTTCGAATTCATTTATGATCAAACCTTCAGCTTCACTAGTTATTGTTCCATCTTCATCGCTTTGTGCCAACTCAAGTAAAACATTTCTAACTCCTTCGGTTTGTCGTAGCAATGGTTTCACACTTTCAATACGACTTTCCCATCGTGTTTGGGATAATGGTTTAAGAGTAAGACCAATAACATTAGCCTTCATGATATCCCATCGTTTTGTTGAAGCAGAAAATAAGCAATATATTCGTTGAATAACCCCAAAAAAGTTTTTACCTTTGAGACAACAACTGGCCATATCACAAAGTGCAAGATTCAGACTATGACAACCACATGGCATGTAGAAAGCTCTTGGATTTCGATAAAGTAATCTCTTTTGTACACCTTTGTGTTTCCCCTTCATATTCGACCCATTGTCATAACCTTGCCCTCTTATATCATTGATGTCTAGCTCAAGAGTATCTAATACCTCTTCTAGTTCACTAAAAAGACCAAGTCCTGTTGTATCATCCACTTTCAGAAACTCCAAGAAAAACTCCTCAACTTTTATTGGGCTTACAGTAACGTCCACACATCGTATCACAAGAGTCATTTGCTCTTTATGGCTTACATCAGGCGTACAATCAAGTATAACAGAGAAGTATTTTGCTTTTTTATTTTTTCCACGATAGCCCTCTTGACTTCACCAGCCAATAAATTAATCAATTCATTTTGAATCTTGTTACCGAGATAATGGTAATGAATCTCTTTTGTTTCAATTCTTCGAACATGCTCTTGCATTATGGGATCAAACATTGCAACCATTTCAATGAACTTCAAAAAATTTCCATTTCCATCTTTATGAAGTGTTTCATTGTCCCCTCTAAATGCCAAATTTTGTTGTGCAAGAGTTCTCACAAGTGCAATTATTCGAACCAATACTTGCCGCCAATAATCTTTCTCTCTATTAATTTGCTCTTGCAAACCTTTATCAATTGTTTCATTTTTCTTTAGCCGCATCTCCAATTCGATCCACTTACTCATACAAATAATATGTTCGCTGCTGCCTTCATGACTATGTAGTCTATGAGCAAGATTTTTCCAATCCTTAAAACCAGTGGTCGCTAATTGAGTATTATTTGACTCATTCTTGAACAATTTGCAGCAAAAACAAAAGACCTTATCAGCAATTTTGGAATAAATTAACCACTTTCTCTTGTGTCTCTCTCCATTTGGAAATTGTCGGACGTAATGAGTAGAAGAGAAATGTCTACAAGAATCGTCAAGAGGGTACTCGAAATCATCATCCAAATCTCTTATAGGGCCTCGTTCTACCAAAAAGTCTCTCGTCTTTACATCAAGTTTGTCCCATTTGATTGGATCATCACTTACTTGCTCACTCAGCACTTGTTCAACTTGTGGATCATTGTCACCTCCATCCTTGGTTGTTTTCGTTTCTTGGTTGCCATCTACAGTTGGATTTTCTAACTCCACTGTTTCATTATCATTGACATCCTCGTTCACCAATTCTTCAACTATTTCTATATTATTAACTTGTTCGGCATCGAAAAATCTATGCAAACCTCCTCTTCTTTTCATAGATCGATCAAGTTCGTCTCGTTTATCCTTTATCTTTCTTTTTTCACATCCAGAAGGATATACTCTAGGAGTATGACCCATGACCACGACAATAAAATTATGTACCAAAACAATAAAATAACTCATCAAAATATGTATTATAAATTACAAAATATAATGAAAATATCACTTTCAATACAAGAAATATATTGAAATATCAGTCATAGTTTATTCATTAAAAAAAAAGAATAACATGAACATATAATTTTTATTCCATTGATCAACATAAAAAATGGAAAAATATATTATGGTATACCAAATAATGAAGATGTAGCATGTAGCCGCCTGACGATTTCAATCGGGGTAGAGGTCGGAGAAACGTAGGAAAACAACAATTGACGGAGAGTAATAACAACAGGATCAAGAAATTTGGTGGCTTGAATTTTGGAATTTGAGAATGAAATTTGGGGAATCTGGTTTTGAAATTTAAGAAGATGAGTGGGAACTTGGGGTTTCAAAATCCAAAATTGAAGATTAGGAGTTGAAAATTTGGCTTTTATGAAAACCCTTACGGTATTTGATTGTCTTCTTCATGATGAAAAATTGAAACCCTCAATTTATTTGTTAGGGAAAAGAAGGTGGAAGAGTGAAAAGAATGTGGATAAGGCAGGGGAGAAAAATAAAATAAAGAGAAAAGGTAAGAAAATAAAGAAGAAAAGGTTAAGGGAATATTACGTGAATACAGAAAATAGAAAAAAATTAAAATTTCTTAATAGGTTTTATGTTTTATTTTAGATATTCTTTAAATAAATAATTTAATTAGGTAAATCTTGGTTGGAAACAAATGGCCTTAAATAAAAATAATATAAATAAATTCTAATATAATATAAAGATTTTTTTTTTCAAAATCGGGGGCCCCTAAATTTCGTAAAAAATCGGGGGCTCAAGGCGGTCGCCTTTCCCAAGGCGGTCGCCTATCTCGTCTCCCCTTAGAACCGGGCCTGATTGCACTTCATATCTTACAACTTTGCATCAAGATCAAGAGATAAATTATCTTCATTTAATTTCATTTGTAATTAATCCCTGTGCATTCCACGGGTGAGCTAACTAGTATATTTAAATTAGATAATTATTTGTAACACTTTCTCAAATAAAAAGTGAAAATGGGCTTGGGGGCTTAAAACAAGAAGTGTTAATGTGTTATAGAATCCTGTCCAATAGGTATAAAACTTACTTGATCATAATCGGCCCGTTCAACGGGTACTACAAACACAAGTCAAACACCCAACAACCTAAGCTGACTCATCTTTGACCAAGAGTGAAACACACGCGCCTATGCATCGCGTCGCCTTCAGATTCCCGACATCCCCAAATCTTTTTTACACCACACTTTAAACCTCCGCGCTACAGCAAACGAAGAGAAAGGGCAGAGCAAAAAAAGTAAAACAAAAGTAAAGAAAAACACACTTTAATCTCACACACTCGAGTAGAGAGAGAGAGAGAGAGAAAAGAAGAGAGAGAGAGAGAGAGAGAGAGGAAAGTGAAGTAGAAATGGGAGAAGGGAAAGGGTCGACGCTTGTTCATCTTCTAGTCATTGTTCTCAGCTTAACTGCATTCGGATTTTCAATTGCTGCTGAACGACGCCGTAGCACTGTAAAACCCCCTCTCTTTATTCCCCCTTGATTTACAATTTTACATCTTCATGCTTATATATATATATATATATATATATATAATTGTCTAATTTTGTAGAAGCGAATGGAGCTTTGTAGATCGCTGTTGAATTTTGTTTTTTCTTGCTTTGTGATTTTACGATTTACTATTTTATATGTTCAATTACTTAATTGGCGTTTGGATTTGTATGTGGTACTTCATTTGCACTTGTGTGTGTGTGTGTGTGTGTGTGTGTGTGTGCTGTTCTGATTTGATTATCATAAACTAGATTTGATGCTCTGTTAGTAAGATCAGATGTAGGAAAATTGTTTTCTTATATTCTCTCTCTATATATATGGAATTCCTTTTAATGCCTTGGATTTGTATTACGAATTATCACGAAAGGCTTCGTGTCTGGTGTCGTTGGATTATGCCATTTTCGAGTTTCGCATATTGAAATGAGAATCACATATTTACGCGAGCCGTAAGAGAAAATAAAATGCGCGTTTTTAAACTTTTTACTTGTTTCAGTTGAAAAATTCCATGTTCCTCTCCGAAAGTGTTACGGAACAACTGTGGCTTGCATCTTGACGACACATAAGTATTCACATAGTTGCTCGTTGACACATAACTTACGAAGAACTAAGATATTTTCCTCAAGATTTTGAGATAGCGTCATTTTATAATAAAATTCTTATTAGGAGTTATGCGTGTTTTCTTCAATGCACTTTTTCGAAAACCGAAATCAATTATAATCTTTAGGCTCTTAAGGGTAAAATTAAACTTAGGGATCCCTTACACCTTTTATAAACTCTCATCAAACACTCTTTAACTTGATAATCGTAACATGTACTTGAAAGGGGAGTATTTTTCAATTATTACGGGTATTATTCGAGCATATTAGACGAATTAATTAACTAGAATATAATTGGCTCTGTACTAAGACGATTTTCAATGCATAAGTTTCTGCTCCTTGCCACTAAAAAGTTCGTTACCAGGTTCAAATTCATGTGATAAACCAAAGGAGCAGTAAGTTGATGGCATAAGTGTAATTAGCTTGTAAACTCATGTCTGGATTTGATTAACGGTCGACATATAAATGTTAATTTGTCTATCTAACTGTAATTATGTTCGTCCATATTCTCGATATTAGCTCATTTGAGATGTTATCTTGACTTCTCGTTGCACTTTTCCTAGTCCAATTATATAATTGGGTTTTCATTGCATAATCTTATCTTGTGGACCAAACGAGGCCTTAATTTTTTCAGACAATGATTTCTGATTCTTCCTTAAAAAAATGGCAGGGCACTCTACACAAAGACGAAGCAACTAATCAAACATATTGTGTTTACCAATCGGATGTTGCCACTGGCTATGGAGTGGGTGCTTTCCTTTTCCTTCTCTCGAGCGAATCCTTACTTATGGGCGTCACTAAATGCATGTGTTTAGGAAGGCCTTTGACTCCTGGATCAAATCGTGCTTGGACCATTATTTATTTCGTCTCTTCATGGTACAATATATATACTATTATAATATTCCCATTTAAATAAGGAAGAATAATTCATATTCTTTTTTTTTTTTTTTTTGTTAACGAATAATTTTTGCAGGATGACGTACTTAGTGGCATCTGCATGCCTAATTGCTGGAGCGAAAAAGAATGCCTACCACACGAAATATCGGAACATGGTCTTAGCAGATAACTTCTCTTGCGAGTCGTTAAGGAAGGGTATATTCGTCGCCGGAGCGGTTTTTACGGTTGCCACAATGATTCTCAACGTCTATTATTACATGTACTTCACTAAAGCTACTTCTCAGACAGCTCGCAAAACCAACCGTACTAGTTCGACAGTTGGCATGACTGGTCATGTATAAATATTTTCTTCGGGATGATGAAAATATCCAGTCTTGTTAGTATAAAATTAGCTGATTAAATGTATTCATTTTTGGAAAAAAGATGGTACTTTATAATTCTACTTAGTGATATGGTGCAGTACCTTATTTTGAATGTTAGTTTGCAGTATTTTGGTCTACAGAGATTGTGTGAGAATTGAATTACCGAATTTATGATATGATATTTTTTTTCTTCATAAAATTCATTTGGCCTTTAGGTTTTTCGTAGTTTAGTATTGTGATTTTCGCAGACCATTATATATTGCAATCATTTTCAGGTTCCTATCATCTCTACCAGCTTCACCCTTTTATTTAGTGGTGAAAATCGGACGGAATGGATCAAAAATGGTTTGTGTCGTAAGTTTTCCAATTTTTTCAGAAGTTAAAATTAGGTTCCAATTTCCGTTCCAAAAAACCGGAACTCAAAATTTCATTGCGATCGGAATGCCTCGGAATCTTTTGAATTTCGAAAATTTCAAAAATTGCATTAATTCATTTTTTTTTTTCGAAATTCGGATATAAGTGAAATTTTAAGATTTTTTTTGTAATCGTTTTTTTTTTTTTTTCCAGCAAAAAGAAGGTAAAGAAGATCAACATAAATAGTTATGTAAATTATCATATATTTTTCATATAATATATATCATAGTTTATTTCCTATTACTGCACAACCAGCCCAGAATGGTGTTCGGTAGGCCTAATTTTAAAGAAATGGATTATGGTGACAGTACGAATTGGCTCTTGATCAAGACGGAGATGATGGGTGACCCGAACAAAAAACGGTCAAACTGTCCCATGATAATGAACAAGACTATCTCAAGTTGATGAAGACGAGCCTAATCCAAAAATGAGAAGATTGCATCAACATCTCGTTCTCGTAACCAAAGATGACGAGAACCAAAATTTCCAAAAATGGATCATGGTGACAGTACGAATTGGCTCTTGATCAAGACGGAGATGATGGGTGATGAAGACGAGCCTAATCCAAAAATGAGAAGATTGCATCAACATCTCGTTCTCGTAACCAAAGATGACGAGAACCAAAATTTCCAAAAATGGATCATGGTGACAGTACGAATTGGCTCTTGATCAAGACGGAGATGATGGGGTGACCCGAACAAAAAACGGTCAAACTGTCCCATGATAATGAACAAGACTATCTCAAGTTGATGAAGACGAGCCTAATCCAAAAACGAGAAGATTGCATCAACATCTCGTTCTCGTAACCAAAGATGACGAGAACCGAAATTTCCAATATCTACAAAGAAGGTTAGGACCAAAAAACGAAGGCAGGCACCTTTAAACACCCAAAGGAGCGGGGCCCACAAAGTATGTTTTCTTTTTACTAGAACCGATCGATTGAAAAAAATAGATCGTAGGAGAAATAAGGCGAATTTTGAACGAAATTAGATTATTGAAGTTTGTAAAAGTACAATTGTATATAAAACAAGTTTTCTTTTCAAACCTCTTTCAACCTTTACATGATAAAGAAGAAATCGAGAACATACATCATTATATATACAAGTGACATACAGGTCAACATACTAAATAAGAAAAAAATGCATTCAATCTAATGACTATTATTCGTCTATTAAAATTATCTATCAAAGTGTGTAGATATTTTATTCTAAAAATATTTAGATATTTCTTCACTATATTTAGAATTTAATTATTTCTAGAAATTGAATTTATTGAACGCCAACCTAAAGATTATGATCATATTGGACCCTTAACTTCGATAAATACACCCCCTTCGATATATATGGGCAAACTAACAACCCTTAGGTATATCTGCTAAAATAACTTTAAGATTCATGTGGTACGGTAAACATATGTTAGTTCATATATATATATATATATATATATATATATATATATATATATATATATATATATATATATATATATATATATATATATATATATATATATATATTAATTTTTTAATTTTTTTTAATATTATTTCAAATCAATATGTTTACTGTACTGAAAATAACTAATGTAACTGTAGTAAACTATAATAATTCGTAGTTATGTTCTTTTTTTTACCCCATATTTTTAGTCGATCAATTGTATACACGCGAATACTGGCTCATACAAAAGAAATTAATAAAACCCAACAAAATTCACAAATTTCAATATTTTTATTACAGATCACCTCACAACCAATAAAATACAAATCGAAAATACACAAATATATGCATATGTAACTAGATGTTACTATATGTAACTAGTAATGTATAGTAATATATAGTAGTAATGTGCAGTAATGTATACAGTCATTGTAACTTGAAGCAGATGTAACCTCAACCAAATTTTTGACACCTTCAAGGAGATGATCAATGACTTTCATTAAGCTGCAATTGTAAAATCAAAACAATTTTTTTTTTTTTTGCAAATCAACAAAAATTGAAGAAATATCAAAACACTCAAAAATCAACAAACACTAAGAGATCGAGAGATAGAGAGAGAGGCTATTGCTGGGAAATGCTACGAATTTTAAACCAAACAGCTAGGGCTGGCAATCGGGCCATGTGAGCCGAGCTTGGGTTGGCTCAAGCTCACATACCATCGGGCCTCGTTACTATAGGCTCAAGCTCACATACAATCGGGCCTCATTAGTATAGGCTCAAGCTCGGCTCATGTAATTTTTCTGGTTTCGGGTTTATATCGGGCCCCATTACTATATAATTGTAATGAGTAACGAAATTTATAAAAATAAGTGATGAACAAGATTTACCTCCAATGAAGTCAATCCAAAAAAAACACCTAGACGATCTTTGCATGTTATTCGAAAAACTTGAAAATAAGACTGAAAAACGTAAAAACAAAAAATTAGTAATTCTTATTATTGGAAACGTTTTATATTGTCAAATCTCGGTGATATGTTGCATTTGATTCATATTTAACTTATTACCACCGTCACTACTTAATTCCTTTTATTTTGACTTTTTTTCTTTACAAAATCAAATAATCTTAACAGTCCTAACTTGTATGTTGATCCATAACATTAAAATAATAAATATATTATATATTATTATTATCCTAATCGGTCGGGCCTTATTCGAGTTGAGCCATAGTAGGCTCAAACTCGGCTCATAAATAAATCGGGTTTAGTAAAATGGCTCAAACTCGGCCCGGCTCGCTAAAAAGTAGGTTCGGCTCAAATATAATCGGGCCGAGCCATCGGGCTTCGGTTAGGCCCGGCTCAATTGCCGGTCCTACAAACAGCCAAGGTTCCGCGCTCACAAATGAAAAAAAAATTATAAAAATAAATCTGACAATATAAAAATGAACGAAATTACCATCAAAATACAGATCTCGATGAGAGGAATTCAACGGTGGGTAGCCCGTCAAATTCCGACTGCCGAAACACAAAATACACTTTCGACAAGACCCGCCGTCATCGAAATATGCGTCGAATGAAAAATAATTGCAGAAACAGATCGAGTGCTCCAAACTGAATGAAATCACTACCTAAAGAAAGAGTTCGGCGAGAGGAATCCAACGGTAGTTAAACCATCGAATTCTGGCCACCAGAGATACATTTATGACTTCGGGAAGCAACTTCGCCGGTTGGAGATATATGGAGGCGATATTTGAATCGAGGAGTTGAGAGAGGAAGAGAGAGGCGATTGTGATTGGATAGGGTTTAAAACTGATTTTAAAAGGACATTATAGGTACTTCAGGGTTGCCGAGGGGGTATGTCAAAATATTTTCGAAACGAGAGGGTTTCCCCTAAAGTATATCCACTTGGTTATTAGTTCTATATAATTTGGAAATAAAAGGGTGAACTTTTAATATATGCTATTATATATTTATTTACAGTGTGGGAGTATATACTTGCTTTGAATTATTTCCTGTGAGTACTCCTAAACATTTTTCGGAGGCGCTCGTTCAATACATGATATTTAATACGAAGTATTAATTATACTTTTGCACTACAAATTTTGAATACTTAATTGGTTTTCCGTTTCAAATTTGTTTTAGTAAGCTTCTGAAAAGTCTGTTACTGAAATGTCACTTTTAAGTAATCTACACTTGGATTGAAACATAACAAAGGATAAAACAGTCTCTGAAAAAAAATTGATTATTCATACATACAGATCTTGTGTTCTTTACAATGAATCTCAATAAAGTATATATCTCATACCCTATTTCTGCAAATGCTTTAATTTTGTCCAAATGGAGAATTTGAAGTCAGAAAAAATTAAGCAGCACTCATTTGTCTTATCACCAAATCAAGTTAAGAGTTTGTTGCAGCATTATAAATATGATGGAGATGTTATGAGAGAGAAACTAATGAGAGCAACAAGAAAATGGCAAAATTAATTAATTATTTGTATTAAGGGGAATAAGGCTAAGAGCAAAAGGGTAAAATAGATTTATTTGGTAAAAGACATTTTCTAAATTTAATGTGGTGTAAGAAAATGTCCAAAAAACCTCAATAAAAGACACCAAGAGAGGAACAAATCCAAGGTACAAACTTAAGGGAAAAAGGCTCTCAACTTTATTGATGTAGCCAGAAGATCAGATGAGTCTCTACTTTTCAAGAAAGGGTAGAAAAGTAAATATTTAAAATTAAAATTAAAAATAAAAAAAATATAGGCCCTTTTTGGAAATAAAATCCGACAATCTTTCTTCTTGGTTTTTGTGTTTAAATTATTTTTTTAATGATGTTCGTAGTTCAAACTCTGATGAGAAAAAAATGTTGTTCTTGATTCTTCCTATACGTTGGCACGTGAGTTTTGAAGGGTCAATTAAAATGATCATGCATGTTTCATTATTCCTTAATTTATTAATTACTAGGTGATTATAACATTAATTGTAAATTACGACCTCACTCTGAGGTACGATGAAATTACTCCTCATGTTTGGTAATTACATCCGCCCATTTAGCTATGAATCTTCTTGCATTATGAGTATATTCTTCAATTTGTACTCATTTTACTCCATTTGAGCTTCATATTTTGAAACAAGATGATCACATGATTATTCTCCTGGCTTGTAATATATAAGATAGATTGTTCATCATAAACTGCATTTATGCTGAAAACGAATACAAATTAGAGAATATTCCACAGAATCTAGAAGATTCTATCGAATTTGACACCATAAGAATGGAGGTGTAAGAAGATTCACAGTTGATGGAGGGATTGTAATTATCCAAATATGATGTGTTTTTTGTAATTTGATCATACATCAGGGGTGCCCGTGATTTACCC